ATTTTGCATCTTCACAGTGGTAGGCATGTTGTGTAAATCAAATGATACAAACCCCCCCAAAATCTATATTAATTCCAGGTTGTAAGGCAACAAAATAGGAAAAATGCCAAGGGGGTTGAATTATTTCGCAAGCCACTGTAGTTCAACTGCTGAAAAGCCTTCATTAACATAATCCCAGAGATAGCAAGACATTCAGTATTTATTGAATGAAGTAGCCTACCCATCCCCATTTACAATTTAATTAATCAATGAAATAAATTATACTATAGCACATTCAATTACATTATTATTGTAGACTATAGGCGACTTCTGTATCTACCTTGTACAATACCATAATCTTTGAATGAAGTTGTGTACCCATCCACATTTACAATTTGAATTTATCAATTAGATAAACAATACTAGCACATACAGTTACATTATTGTAGAATAGGCTACTCCTGTATCCCAACTATATTAGGATACCGTTATGATTCCATTGGTCTTGTCAGGCATGATTTTAGGTCTTCGATTGAAGTTGTATGTTGTACCTCGTTTCCCTTCTTCAGTGAAAAGTAGTTATGCATCTCCCATTCAATTCAGTTTGAGTGTGAATGTGTAGGCCTAGTGACAGTGGAAAAATAAACCCATAGCTCCAGCACACAATGGCATGTAGGGGTAGTGTATTACAATGTTAAATATGTAAATATCCTATAGCACCACGTGTGTATATTTTCATTTACAATTTAAATAATTCATGAAATAAATAATACTAGCACATCAAATTACGTTATTATTGTACACTAGTCTACTCCCCTATTGACACAGTAAATAATATTGCCTACGTGCTTTCGACAATACGTTATCAACTCGTTATCAACAAAAAAGTAATTATTTTCAAATAAACCAAATGTGCCTTATCAACACAGTAGGCCTAAATATTTTCTAACGATATCATAACTTAAATATAGCCTACTTACTCCTCAATCGGATCAAGGACATATTGGTAATTATTTTAATCATCTCTAAGGAAACTATCTGGGGCAGACAATCTCGAAAATCATGTCTGCCACTTGAAAAAAAAAAATATATATATATGTCTGTGTCGCCCCCGAGCTCTCAAATACTGTGCCAGTCTCTCACTCTATGAATGGTCACTGCTATCCGGATTCCTTGGGACGTCCCTACCCTGAACCCTAAACTATAACCCTTAACTAACACTAACCTTAACCATTTTACATTTATACTTGATTGAGTTAGGGACATCCCAAGGATCCCGAATAGCAAGGACCCTCTGTGAAAGCCTACGAAGTCCTATTTTCGACTGAAAGCCAAGGACACAACTTTTATTGGTTGTCTGATGTAGGCTACTGGGAACACAGTCTGTGATTGGCTAACAACATTTAGATCTGTATACAGCGAGCCTTGATAAGTTCCTTTCCTGAGGATGGCTCACCCCTCACAGTTCTGGGTGACTTTAACCTCCCTACGTCTGCCTTTGACTCATTTCTCTCTGCCTCCTTCTTTCCACTCCTCTCCTCTTTTGACCTCACCCTCTCACCGTCCCCCCCTACTCACAAGGCAGGCAATACGCTTGACCTCATCTTTACTAGATGCTGTTCTTCTACTAATCTCACTGCAACTCCCCTCCATGTCTCCGACCACTACTTTGTATCCTTTTCTCTCTCGCTCTCCTCCAACACTACTCACTCTGCCTCTACTCAGATGGTAATGCGCTGTCGCAACCTTCGCTCTCTCTCCCGCTACTCTCTCCTCTTCCATCCTATCATCTCTTCCCTCTGCCCAATCCTTCTCCCTCCAATCTCCTGATTCTGCCTCCTCAACCCTCCTCTCCTCCCTTTCTGCATCCTTTGACTCTCTATGTCCCCTATCCTCCCGGCCGGCTCGGTCCTCCCCTCCTGCTCCGTGGCTTGACGACTCATTGCGAGCTCACAGAACAGGGCTCCGGGCAGCCAAGCGGAAATGGAGGAAAACTAGACTCCCTGCGGACCTGGCATCTTTTCACTCCCTCTTCTCTACATTTTCTTCCTCTGTTTCTGCTGCTAAAGCCACTTTCTACCACTCTAAATTCCAAGCATCTGCCTCTAGCCCTAGGAAGCTCTTTGCCACCTTCTCCTCCCTGTTGAATCCCCCCCCCCCCCCCCCCCCTCCCTCTCTGTGGATGACTTTGTCAACCATTTTGAAAAGAAGGTTGACAACATCCGTTCCTCGTTTGTTAAGTCAAATGACCATTTCCGGAGATCTTCTCCCTTACCTCACCTCGCTTATCAACTCATCCTTGACCGCTGGCTATGTCCCTTCCGTCTTCAAGAGAGCCAGAGTTGCACCCCTTCTCAAAAAACTTACACTCGATCCCTCTGATGTTAACAACTACAGACCAGTATCCCTTCTTTCTTTTCTCTCCAAAACTCTTGAGCGTGCAGTCTTTAGCCAACTCTCTAGCTATCTCTCTCAGAATGACCTTCTTGATCCAAACCAGTCAGGTTTCAAGACTGGTCATTCAACTGAGACTGCTCTTCTCTGTGTCACGGAGGCTCTCCGCACTGCTAAAGCTAACTCTCTCTCCTCTGCTCTTGTCCTTCTAGACCTGTCTGCTGCCTTTGATACTGTGAACCATCAGATCCTCCTCTCCACCCTCTCCGAGCTGGGCATCTCCGGCGCGGCTCACTCTTGGATTGCGTCCTACCTGACAGGTCGCTCCTACTAAGTGGCGTGGCGAGAATCTGTCTCCGCACCACGTGCTCTCACCACTGGTGTCCCCCAGGGCTCAGTTCTAGGCCCTCTCCTATTCTCGCTATACACCAAGTGACTTGGCTCTGTCATATCCTCACATGGCCTCTCCTATCATTGCTACGCAGACGACACACAACTAATCTTCTCCTTTCCCCCTTCTGATAACCAGGTGGCGAATCACATCTCTGCATGTCTGGCAGACATTACAGTGTGGATGACGGATCACCACCTCAAGCTGAACCTCGGCAAGACGGAGCTGCTCTTCCTCCCGGGGAAGGACTGCCCGTTCCATGATCTCGCCATCACGGTTGTCAACTCCGTTGTGTCCTCCTCCCAGAGTGCAAAAAGCCTTGGCGTGACCCTGGACAACACCCTGTCGTTCTCCGCTAACATCAAGGCGGTGACCCGATCCTGTAGGTTCATGCTCTACAACATTCGGAGAGTACGACCCTGCCTTACACAGGAAGCGGCACAGGTCCTAATCCAGGCACTTGTCATCTCCCGTCTGGATTACTGCAACAGGCTGTTGGCTGGACTCCCTGCCTGTGCCATTAAACCCCTACAACTCATCCAGAATGCCGCAGCCCGTCTGGTGTTCAACCTTCCCAAGTTCTCTCACGTCACCCCGCTCCTCCGCACACTCCACTGGCTTCCAGTTGAAGCTCGCATCTGCTACAAGACCATGATGCTTGCCTACGGAGCTGTGAGGGGAACGGCACCTCTGTACCTTCAGGCTCTGATCAGTCCCTACACCCAAACGAGGGCATTGCGTTCATCCACCTCTGGCCTGCTGGCCCCCCTACCTCTGCGGAAGCACAGTTCCCGCTCAGCCCAGTCAAAACTGTTCGCTGCTCTGGCACCCCAATGGTGGAACAAGCTCCCTCACGACACCAGGACAGCGGAGTCACTCACCACCTTCCGGAGACACTTGAAACCCCACCTCTTTAAGGAATACCTGGGATAGGATAAAGTAATCCTTCTATCCCCCCCCTTACCCCAACCCCCCCCCCCCAAAAAAAAAAAAAAACATATTGTAAAGTGGTTATCCCACTGGCTATAAGGTGAATGCACCAATTTGTAAGTCGCTCTGGATAACAGCGTCAGCTAAATGACGTAAATGTAAATGTAAATGTTAAGATAACATACCATGCCATGAGGTGTTGCGGGAAAGACAGATTACCTATAGATTGGACATAATAATTTCTAGGCCATTAGCGATAACAGGAAATACACAAGCCGTAGGCTACACTATAGCTTAAGGTGGCTACTTCGGAATGTCGGCTTGCACAGGAAAAACGGTACATTTCTAACATTTATGGTTGAGATTTAATTAATATAAATATAAAACTATGGACCTTATGACTTTCATTAACACGCAGACGTTGGTATGATGACATGTTAGTTACACGCAGGTGTTAGTAAGGCGTTGGTATCATGTCATGTCAGTCAGACGTTCAATGTTAGGCGACAGCCACACGGTGGTACGGTTGCCTAGGCTTAATTCTGGCACTTATCACCCCCCATACACCCTAGTTTCGTCCAAATCTGTCCAGTGCTATCTGTGATATTGCGTATGACCAACGCATGAAAGTACTAACGGATGGAGACAGTTCCACAGTCCCCTCCCCGATTTCATCGTGGGATACAATAACAGCCAAAAACAACAACTCTTATTTTTGGGAATGTAATGTAATCACAGATGGATGACTCACTACCAAATAGCCGGCAGTAGGAGAAGATGGAACGAGATTGATTTTGGCCGACATTCTGCTATATTTCTCATCAATGAAACATTATCGTAATACAATTTTCCCCAAACTAGAATCTGTTACGAACAGATTGGACTAAGTTTTGTAGACTTTACCCTTTGCCAAAGTTTTAAAAAATTGCGTTGTTTAGAAGGAGTGCAAAGGCCAATTGAGTTTTTGTACACTTCACAGAATAGGCGTTCCTTAAAGGAAATATGCAAATTAATGCCAGAACGCGCCAATAGGATCTCGCTAGCTCGTGCTTGGCACTGCCCACCTCCTCTGTCCATTATGAGTCATTTGTTTCCATTCGAATCGACGGGCAGTGGTCTATCTTGGTTTAGTTAGAAATATATTTGATGTCATTACATAAGAGGTTGATGGAACCAAAGACAATTAGAGGTGGAGGGAGGTAAAGATGAGCGCAAAAGATATCATAGAAAATACTACAATACCCATAATGCATAGTTTGAGGACGTGCCTTGTCGTATATTGTGGGCACATGCGCTGTTCTTGTGGATGAGCCGGTGTATCATGGCGACATACGTGGATATTCTGAAGAGCGAGTTTCCCGAAATTGACACCGAAGTGTTCGAATACATCACGGGTAAGAGACTGTAAATGGATGGAGATGGTGTGTGGATCTCGTACACTTTAAAATGCCACCGGTTAGAAGATTGGCGGATGGCTTCTTCTCCTCTGCCACGTGAAGTAAGGTTAGCTAGCATAGCCGTTCCCACACAGCGTTGAGGCACAGTCACGTTAGCTGGTTAGCCAACACGTAACATGCCGGTAGTTAGCTCATAATTGGCCCATTTGAACCACTAACCGGATGAGCTAGGCTAACTAATTTATTGCCTTCAATTAATAGCAAACTAGCTGCTTCTGTGTGAGTTTACCGGCATGCAATAATAATAATAATACATGGGACTTAGTTATATTGCGCTTTTCATGGACCCAAAGTCGCAAAACAAATTTTTTTAGTTAAAACAAAACATCAGCCTAAACATGAACAAGGAGAGCGGTGGGCTGAAGGAAGGGAAAGCGTTATCGATCAGTGAATGGGGAGGTTGGGGTTTGGATATGAAGCCGGTTTACATAGGGCTTTCAACACTTCCGAATTCGTCAAACGAAGTTCCGGCCATATTAATTTTGGAGCAAGGCGCAGGGGATTGTGGGAAGGTGTGCGTCGAGAACCCTACTAGTCGAGCAGTAGGAAAGGTTGTTGTTCTACTTTATGCAAACATATTCTACATAGTTAAGCGCATAAAACGTGGTAATTAACTACAATTATTTTTTTTACATTTCACCTTTATTTAACCAGGTAAGCCAGTTCAGAACAAGTTCTCATTTACAAAGCAAAGCAGTGCGATAAAAACAACAAACACAGAGTTACATATGGAATAAACAAAACGTACATTTAATAACACAATAGAAAATCTATATACAGTGTATTCAAATGTGGTAAATTATGGAGGTAAGGCAATAAATAGGCCATAGTGCAAAATAATTACAATTTAGTATTAACACTGGAGTGTTAGATGTGCAGAAGATGATGTGTGAATAGAGATACTGGGGTGCAAATGAGCAAAATAAATAACAATGTAAATAACAATATGGGAATTAGGTAGTTGGGTGGGCTAATTACAGATGGGCTGTGTACAGGTGCAGTGATCGGTAAGCTGCTCTGACAACTGATGCTTAAAGATAATGAGGGAGATAAGTGTCTCCAGCTTCAGAGATTTTTGCAGTTCGTTCCAGTCATTTGCAGCAGAGAACTGGAAGGAATGGCGGCCAAAGGAGGTGTTGGCTTTGGGGATGAGCAGTGAGATATACCTGCTGGAACGCATACTACGGGTGGGTGTTGCTATGGTGACCAATGAGCTAAGATAAGGCAGGGATTTGCCTAGAAGAGATTTATAGATGACATGGACCCAGTGGGTTTGGCGACGAATATGTGGTGAGGGCCAGCCAACGAGAGCGTACAGGTCACAATGGTGGGTAGTATATGGGGCTTTGGTGACAAAACGGATGGCACTGTGATAGACTACATCCAATTTGCTAGTAGAGTAGAGTGTTGGAAGCTATTTTGTAAATGACATCGCCGAAGTCAAGGATCGGTAGAATAGTCCGTTTTACGAGGGCATGTTTAGCAGCATGAGTGAAGGAGGCTTTGTTGCGAAATAGGAAGCCAATTCTAGATTTAACTTTGGATTGGAGATGCTTAATGTGAGTCTGGAAGGAGAGTTTACAGTCTAACCAGACACCTAGGTATTTGTAGTTGTCCACATATTCTAAGTCAGACCCGCCGAGAGTAGAGATTCTAGTCGGGGGGGCAGGTGCAAGCAGCGTTCGATTGAAGAGCATGCATTTAGTTTTACTAGCGTTAAAGAGCAGTTGGAGGCCACGGAAGGAGTGTTGTATGGCATTGAAGCTCGTTTGGAGGTTTGTTAACAGTGTCCAATGAAGGGCCAGATGTATACAAAATGGTGTCGTCTGCGTAGAGGTGGATCTGAGAATCACCAGCAGCAAGAGCGACATCATTGATATACACAGAGAATAGAGCCGGCCCGAGAATTGAATGGGCAAGTTGCAGTGGAGGGTGCAGAGCTGGTGGCCGGGGTAAGGATAGCCAGGTGGATAGCATTGCCAGCCGTAGCAAAATGCTTATTGAAATTCTCGATTATCGTCGATTTATCGGTGGTGACAGTGTTTCCTAGCCTCAGTGCAGTGGGTAGCTGGGAGGAGGTGCTCTTATTCTCCAAGGACTTTAGTGTCCCAAAACTTTTTCGAGTTAGTGCTACAGGATGCACATTTCTGTTTGAAAAAGCTAGCCTTTGCTTTCCTAACTGATTGTGTATATTGGTTCCTGACTTCCCTGAAGTTGCATATTGCGGAGCTGTTCGATGCTAATGCAGTACGCCACAGGATGTTTTTGTGCTGGTCAAGGGCAGTCAAGTCTGGGGTGAACCAGGGGCTATATCTGTTCTTAGTTCTGCATTTTTTGAATGGGGCATGCTTATTTAAGATGGAGAGGAAAGCACTTTTGAAGAACATCCAGGCATCCTCTACTGACGGAATGAGGTCAATATCCATCCAGGATACCGGGCCGGGTCAATTAGAAAGGCCTGCTCGCTGAAGTGTTTTAGGGAGCGTTTGACAGTGATGAGGGGTGGTCGTTTGACCGGGAACCCATTACGGACGCAGGCAATGAGGCAGTGATCGCTGAGATCCTGGTTGAAGACAGCGGAGGTGTATTTAGAGGGTAAATTAGTCAGGATGATATCTATGAGGGTGCCCATGTTTACAGATTTAGGGTTGTACCTGGTAGGTTCCTTGATAATTTGTGTGAGATTGAGGGCATCTAGTTTAGATTGTAGGACAGGCGGGGTGTTAAGCATATCCCAGTTTAGGTCACCAAGCAGTACGAACTCAGAGGATAGATGGGGGGCAAGCAATTCACATATGGTGTCCAGGGTACAACTGGGGGCTGAGGGGGGTCTGTAGCAAGCGGCAACAGTGAGAGACTTATTTCTGGAAAGGTGGATTTTTATAAGTAGAAGCTCAAAATGTTTGGGCACAGACCTGGATAGTATGATAGTTGGCAGTTCTATCTAGATGGAAAATGTTGTAATTCGGGATGGACCTTTCTGAATAGTATGATAGTTGGCAGTTCTATCTAGATGGAAAATGTTGTAATTCGGGATGGACATTTCTGAATTTTTGGTGGCCTTCCTAAGCCAGGATTCAGACACTGCTAGAACATCAGGGTTGGCAGAGTGTGCTAACGCAGTGAATAACTCAAACTTGGGGAGGAGGCTTCTGATGTTGACATGCAAGAATCCAAGGCTTTTACGGTTACAGAAGTCAACTAATGATAGCGCCTGGGGAGTAGGAGTGATACTGGGGGCTACAGGGCCTGGGTTAACATCTACCTCACCAGAGAAACAGATGAGGAATAGAATAAGGATACGGCTAAAGGCTTTAAGAACTGCTCTTCTAGTGCGTTGGGTACAGAGAATAAAAGGGGCAGATTTCCGGGCGTTGTAGAATAGATTCAGGGCATTATGTACAGACAAGGATATGAGTACAGTGGAGGTACACCTAAGCATTGGGTAACGATGAAAGAGGTAGCATCACTGGAGGTACCGATTGAGCCGGTCTCCACGTGTTTGGGGGGTGGGACAAAGGAGTTCTCTGAGGCTGGTTGAGCGGGACTGGAGGTTCTACAGTGAAATAGTACAATAAGAACTAGCCCAAACAGCAATAGGCTAGGCATATTGACATGGGAGAGAGGCATAACGCAATCACAGGTGTTATTCGAGAGGGCTAAGACAACAACTGGTAATGGCGACAAAAGTTTGGGCTGAGGCTAAACAGATAAACAGGATCGGGTACCGTGTAAAGGAACAGTCCAGCAGGCATCAGCTGTGTAGCTGAGTGATCATAAGGTCTAGTGAACAGCAATAGCTAAGTCCGGGAGCAGTTTGTAGGCTGCTACAGCACAGGCGAGCAGGAGGCACGGCTGTTGATTGCGCGTGCTAGCGGGCCGGGGCTAGCAGATGGATGTTCATGGTCGTCGCAACGGGAAGCCTGTTGAAACCCCGTCAGACGATTACGACGGCAGACCAGTCGTGATGGATCGGCGGGGCTCCGTGTTGACACTAGGAGGTCCCGTCCGGTTGACAGAGAGGTAGATAGCCGGGAGATGGGCCTGGCTCGAGGCTAGCTCAAGGCTAACTGGGGCATCGGGACAGTGGTGTATAAGCCAACAACAGCCATTCGGTTGCAGCTAGCTAGTTGCGATGATCCCGTGTTAAGGTCCAGTGATTCCGGCAGAAAATCTGATATGCTCTGGATCGATAGCACGCTGTGCAGACCGATAATTGTCCAGGCTAGAGCTGGCTGGTAAGTAGTGCAGGCCATGGACAGTGATGAAGACCGCTAACTGTGGCTAATAGCAAGTAGCTAGTTAGCTGGCTAGTTTCAGCTGTAGGTTTTTGATAAAAATAAAGGAAATAATAGAATCCGTTCCATATTGGGTGAGGCGGGTTGCAGGGAAGTATATTTGGTTAAAGGATGGGAAGTGAGATAGAGAAATATATACGAAAAAAAGACAAAATAAAAAAACAGGCTATTTACACGAGGACACAACACAATTCACGACCACACTGCTACACGCATCTACTTGTCTGGTCTGTTTTTATTTTAGGCATGCTATGGAACAGACAGAAGAATGCGCGATCGTGAGGGGTTGTACAGATCAGCTGTTACTTCGCAAGGTATCTCTACCTGAAAATACATGATCTAAGTGATTGATAGTTGGTATTCAGCAGTCATAAAAGTATGCTTTATTTACTTTGCAGAACTACAAAATGGTGATTTTGTCAGACAGCATAGACAGCAGCTCTATTGAGATGAGATGACTTGTAATGAAATAATAGTAATCAAATAAACCAAATGTAATATACACAAAAACTATTAAAGTAATGTGAATAAATTATGGTTAATACGTGATAAGCAGTAATGGGCAGTCACTTACATCATGGGACTTTAATTGTTTTATTCTGTGTTACAGCATTCAACCCAAATAATCGTAACCGAAATCGAAAACCGTGATTATATTTTATAATTCACTAACTGTAAGTTTTTAGTATTTTAGTATTCACTAACTGTAAGTCGCTCTGGATAAGAGCGTCTGCTAAATAACTAAAATGTAAATGTAAATGTGCTTGTGCTGCTAGCTAGCTATGAACATCCCAAGTGGCGCAGTGCTAGCTGTGCCACTAGAGATCCTGGTTCGAATCCAGGCTCTGTCGTAGCCGGCCGCGACCGGGAGACCCATGGGGCAGCGCACAATTGGCCCAGCGTCGTCCAGGGTAGGGGAGGGAATGGCCGGCAGGGATGTAGCTCAGTTGGTAGAGCATGGCTTTTGCAATGCCAGGGTTGTGGGTTCGATTCCCACGGGGGGCCAGTATGAAAAAAAAAAAAATGTATGCACAACAAAGTTTGAAAGTCAAAGCCACAATTTCTGTTACCCGAAGTACCCATCTTTTAAAATTAAAATTAAATTAGTGAAAACAAAAATACATATAAAAAAAAAACGTAAAGAAAAATAACCATTGATCGACCTGAACCTCAAAATTGTGATCAAAGCCACCATTTATGAATGTGTTGACAATAAAATTTGCCCACCAAAGGATAGAAATTACCAGTAATACACATTATAACATTGTAAATGATACACCAAGCATGAATTTCCTATGTAATATGCTACCCATTGGATTATGGTATTTTAACATTATGACTCTCATATATTATAGCTTAGGGCGCTTTCATTATACCTGTGTCATGAAATTGATGATTATAGCTCACTTCCTTTAAAATACATAGGCCTACATGTAAAATGCACATGAATGGGTACTTTGGGTAACAGAAATTGTGGCTGTGACTTTCGAACTTTGTTGTGCAAATCTCTCTTCACCCACCATCATCACCAACAATCTCTACAGTCCTGACCTTCTGATCTTGTCTTTGTATTCTTAAATCATTCTCAGTAAATGAACGAGGTAGAAATATATAACACTCCCCTACAAATTGTCAGCTCCTTATTTTAGGGCTGACCCCAATTTGTCTATTGTTTGGTTTATAGGCTGTTGGTCGACAGAGATTTTTTTTTGTCGAGCAGTAGCATATATATACAGTGGGGAGAACAAGGATTTGATACACTGCCGATTTTGCAGGTTTTCCTACTTACAAAGCATGTAGAGGTCTGTAATTTTTATCATAGGCACGCTTCAACTGTGAGAGACGGAATCTAAAACAAAAATCCAGAAAATCACATTGTATGATTTTTAAGTAATTCATTTGCATTTTATTGCATGACATAAGTATTTGATCACCTACCAACCAATAAGAATTCCGGCTCTCACAGACCTGTTAGTTTTTCTTTAAGAAGCCCTCCTGTTCTCCACTCATTACCTGTATTAACTGCACCTGTTTGAACTCGTTACCTGTATAAAAGACACCTGTCCACACACTCAATCAAACAGACTCCAACCTCTCCACAATGGCCAAGACCAGAGAGCTGTGTAAGGACATCAGGGATAAAATTGTAGACCTGCACACGGCTGGGATGGGCTACAGGACAATAGGCAAGCAGCTTGGTGAGAAGGCAACAACTGTTGGCGCAATTATTAGAAAATGGAAGAAGTTCAAGATGACGGTCAATCACCCTCGGTCTGGGGCTCCATGCAAGATCTCACCTCGTGGAGCATCAATGATCATGAGGAATGTGAGGGATCAGCCCAGAACTACACAGCAGGACCTGGTCAATGACCTGAGGAGAGCTGGGACCACAGTCTCCAAGAAAACCATTAGTAACACACTACGCCGTCATGGATTAAAATCCTGCAGCGCACGCAAGGTCCCCCTGCTCAAGCCAGCGCATGTCCAGGCCCGTCTGAAGTTTGCCAATGACCATCTGGATGATCCAGAGGAGGAATGGGAGAAGGTCATGTGGTCTGATGAGACAAAAATATAGCTTTTTGGTCTAAACTCCACTCGCTGTGTTTGGAGGAAGAAGGATGATGAGTACAACCCCAAGAACACCATCCCAACCGTGAAGCATGGAGGTGGAAGCATCATTCTTTGGGGATGCTTTTCTGCAAAGGGGACAGGACGACTGCACCGTATTGAGGGGAGGATGGATGGGGCCATGTATCGCGAGATCTTGGCCAACAACCTCCTTCCCTCAGTAAGAGCATTGAAGATGGGTCAAAGCTGGGTCTTCCAGCATGACAACGACCCGAAACACACAGCCAGGGCAACTAAGGATTGTCTCCGTAAGAAGCATCTCAAGGTCCTGGAGTGGCCTAGCCAGTCTCCAGACCTGAACCCAATAAAACATCTTTGGAGGGAGCTGAAAGTCTGTATTGCCCAGCGACAGCCCCGAAACCTGAAGGATCTGGAGAAGGTCTGTATGGAGGAGTGGGCCAAAATCCCTGCTACAGTGTGTGCAAACCTGGTCAAGACCTACAGGAAACGCATGATCTCTGTAATTGCAAACAAAGGTTTCTGTACCAAATATTAAGTTCTGCTTTTCGGATGTTTCAAATACTTATGTCATGCAATAAAATGCAAATTAATTACTTAAAAATCATACAATGTGATTTTCTGGAGTTTTGTTTTAGATTCCGTCTCTCACAGTTGAAGTGTACCTATGATAAAAATTACAGACCTCTACATGCTTTGTAAGTAGGAAAACCTGCAAAATCGGCAGTGTATCAAATACTTGTTCTCCCCACTGTATATATACAGTTGAAGTCGGAAGTTTACATACACTTAGGTTGGAGTCATTAACACTCGTTTTTCAACCACTCCACACATTTCTTGTTAACAAACTATAGTTTTGTCAAGTCGGATAGGACATCTACTTTGTGCATGACTCAAGTAATTTTTCCAACAATTGTTTACAGACAGATTATTTCACTTATAATTCACTGTATCACAATTCCAGTGGGTTAGACGTTTACATACACTAAGTTGAAAATTAGGTCATGGCTTTAGAAGCTTCTGATAGGCTAATTGACGTCAATTGGAGGTGTACATGTGGATGTATTTCAAGGCCTACCTTCAAACTCAGTGCCTCTTTGCTTGACATCATGGGAAAATCAAAATAAATCAGCCAAGACCTCAGAAAAAATATTGTAGACCTCCCCAAGTTTGGTTCATCCTTGGGAGCGATTTCCACGTTCATCTGTACAAACAATAGTACGCAAGTATAAACACCATGGGACCACGCAGCCGTCATACCGCTCAGGAAGGAGACGCGTTCTGTCTCCTAGAGATGAACGTACTTTGGTGCGAAAAGTGCAAATCAATCCCAGAACAACAGCAAAGGACCTTGTGAAGATGCTGGAGGAAACCGGTACAAAAGTATCTATATCCACAGTAAAACGAGTCCTATATCGACATAACCTGAAAGGCCGCTCAGCAAGGAAGAAGCCACTGCTCCAAAACCGCCATAAAAAAGCCAGACTACGGTTTGCAACTGCACAAGACAAAAGATCATACTTTTTGGAGAAATTTAATCTGGTCTGATGAAACAAAAATAGAACTGTTTGGCCATAATGACCATCGTTATGGACAATGACCCCAAGCATACTTCCAAAGTTGTAGCAAAATGGCTTAAGGACAACAAAGTCAAGGTATTGGAGTGGCCATCACAAAGCTCTGACCTCAATCCTATAGAACATTTGTGGGCAGAACTGAAAAAGCGTGTGCGAGCAAGGAGGCCTACAAACCTGACTCAGTTACACCAGCTCTGTCAGGAGGAATGGGCCAAAATTCACCCAACTTATTGTGGGAAGCTTGTGGAAGGCTACCCTAAACGTTTGACCCAAGTTAAACAATTTACAGGCAATGCTAACAAATACTAATTGAGTGTATGTAAACTTCTGACCCACTGGGATTGTGATGAAAAAAATAAAAGCTGAAATAAATAATTCTCTCTACTATTATTTCACATTCTTAAAATGAAGTGGTGATCCTAACTGACCTAAGACAGGGAATTTTTACTAGAATTAAATGTCAGGAATTGTGAAAAACTGAGTTTAAATGTATTTGGCTAAGGTGTATGTAAACTTCCGACTTCAACTGTGTGTATGTATGTATGTATGTATGTATGTATACTACTACATGTCAAAAGTTTGGACACCTACTCATTCAAGGGTTTTTCTTTATTTTTACATTGTAGAATAATAGTGACGACATCAATACTATGAAATAACACATCATGTAGTAACCAAAAAAGTGTTAAACAAATCAAAATATATTTTATATTTGAGATTCTTCAAATAGCCACCCTTTGCCTTGATGACAGGTTTGCACACTCTTGGCATTCTCTCTTGCACACTCTTGGCATCTCAAGGATGAAACAGGATGCACCTGAGCTCGATTTCGAGTCTCATAACAACGGGTCTGAATACTTATGTAAATAAGGTATTTCTGTTTTTTTTTTTTTTATGTAAATTTGCACATTTCTAAACCTGTTTTCACTTTGTCATTATGGGGTATTGTGTATAGATTGAGGATTTTTATTGATATATTATTTAAAAAAAATAATAAGGCTGTAACGTGACATTGTGGAAAAAGTCAAGGGGATCTGAATAATTTCCGAATGCACTGTGTATGTGGACACCCCTTCAAATTAGTGGATTTGACGATTTCAGCCACACCCGTTGCTGACAGGTGTATAAAATCGAGCACACCGCCATGCAATCTCCATAGACAAACATTGGCAGTAGAATGGCCTTACTGACGAGCTCAGTGACTTTTAACGTCGCACCGTCATAGAATGCCACCTTTCCAACAAGTCAGTTCGTCAAATTTCTTCCCTGCTAGAGCTGCCCCAGTCAACTGTAAGTGCTGTTATTGTGAAGTGGAAACGTCTAGGAGCAGCAACTGCTGAGCCGCGAAGTGGTAGGCCACACGCTCACAGAACTGAAACGCTGAGTGTTGTAGCGCCTAAATATCCTCTGTTGCAACACTCACTACCGAGTTCCAAACTGCCTCTGGAAGCAACATCAGCACAAGAACTGTTAGTCGAGAGCTTAATTAAATGGGTTTCCATGGCCAAGCAGCCACACAAGCGTAAGATCATCATGCGGAATGCCAAGCGTCGCCTGGAGTGGTGTAAAGCTTGCCGCCGTTGGACTCTGGAGGAGTGGAAACGCGTTCTCTGGAGTGATGAGTCACGCTTCACCATCTGGCAGTCCAACGGTTGAATCTGGGTTTGGCGGACGCCAGGAGAACGCTACCTGCCCGAATGCATATTGCCAACTGTAAAGTTTGGTTGAGGAGGAATAATGGTCTGGGGCTGTTTTTCATGTTTCGGGCTAGGCCCCTTAGTTCCACTGAAGGGAAATCTTAATGCTACAGCATACAATGACATTCTAGTCGATTCTGTTCTTCCAACTTTGTGGCAACAGGAAAACCTTCCCACAACAGTGGAGGCTATTATAGCAGCAAAGGGGGGACCAACTCCATATTAATGCCCATGATTTTGGAATGAGATATTCGACGAGCAGGTGTCCAAATACTTTTGATCATGTAGTGTATCAGTTTTTTTTGCATTGGATGCGTCTCAATTCACTGCATCCGCCTATGTCACACTTCCGCATCTGTGGTGACAGAGCTTGAGCGGTGTTTGTCAGACCATGAGACATCCCGAAAATCGGTCTTCTCACAAAATCGTCTGTAGCGTCTTGGGACTCGTCTGAAGTCGATACAGCCGATCTGCCAACTTCTGTCTGTAGCGTCCGTAAAGTTTAGGCTACATACTAATATGACCGCTCTGTGCTAAGGTGAGACTCTGACGAACATGTACAAAAATGTATGTTTCTTAATCTTTCTTATATCTCTAAGATATAGAAATGACACTTTAGATATTTATTTTGTGGACTGTTGTTCCATGTAGTGAATCAGTTATTCAATGCGTTTGTATGGGCTAATAGCAGGAAGGCCAAATACACTTTTTCATCAAATAACTTTTATATATATATATTTTTTATACTTCAAGGGGTCTTAATTGAAAATGAAGTAGGAAAATTATCCTTGGTATGACCTTAAAACAATTCTAGATAGATTAGAAATGCCTGTTTCCAGTTGCAGAGGCATATCTCATTCGATACAAAACATGCATTTAGTATCTTTCTGAATGTTCTATGGTTTTTGTAGAACCACCTACAACTGGAAACAGACATTTCAAAGATGCTTTAGTTGAAAAATCTATGCCGGTGGTTTGTATGGTGCTTTCCTGTAACGCCCAGTAATGGACACCAAAAATCTTTGTACACCAGTTAATGTGATATAACCAAATCTGTAGCTATCGTTGCACATGCCATTTATCGATCATGAGTGCATGGAGTTGTCAAGAGCACAAACAGATCTGGGACCAGGCTAAGTCTAGCTTATTACAAGACTGTTTCATGATAACATTTTGTTGTGTCCCTCCCAAAGTGTGTGTCACCTGTAGATTCTCAGACAAAGTAAGATTGATCCAGAGCCATGTTCAGTAGCTGAAAGTTGCAGTTAGAAATCTCATCAATAGAGCCGACGTGTTTCCTTATGCTACAAGTCAGAGAGCCACATTATTAGCATTTCTCTATCTGAACATTCTAAAAGTTGCATCCTGCTGATTGCGCCCCTGATTTCTATCCTGTGGTATTCCTCTGTGATAGGTGTGTTGGACTGTGGAGGGGTGGAGTTTGAGGATGGAGAGGAGGTGTATGATGCGATTGGAGGGCTGCTGCAGGGGTCGTCTGCTGACTGTAAAAACGAGGATGACATCCGGGACATCTGTCAGCAGATGTTCAACACTCTTAAACTGTAAGTGCAACACACACAAAACCTTAACACCCACCTCTTTCACAACCAGCATACAACACAAAGATGAACTAATTGTCACACACCAAAAGCTAATATTTTATGTAATTCCGCTTGCTGATTCATCAAAAATGTACTCATGTCTTTTCCACCAGGAGTAACGGACATGCCGCTTCAAAGCAAGTGCTGCTCGACGCTCCGGTGCAGTTGTCTCAGATATCTGCAGAGTGTGGTAAGTCCCTTGTCTGCAGGGGGACTAAGGTCTTGCTCTTTGTTGTCAGCTTTACGGTCCATGTTTGATATTTATTCTGGTAGCCTGTAGTTATGTTATCTGTTGTTTTAGCCTTTTTTTACCTCTCTTTACCGTCCTCTACTGCTCGAACTTCCTATTTTCTCTACCCTTTCTACCCCCTCTCCCATGTCTTTTTAAAATCCTTCCTGACTTAGTTACATCATTCCACTCCTTCTGTCTTTCCCCTCTCGTCTCAGTATCTGCCACTAACGATGTCCAAGGGATCTGGATGATGAAGAGAGGCCAGAATACAGTAAAGTATTTTTGTTGCACCGTATCTTCTTGTGTATTACATTCTTTGTCAAAGCTACAGGGCTGACTTGAACATATGTTATTCTCCTGTGAACGTCATCCATTTTGTCTTCTTACACCACCACCATCTCAGACTGTGGACGCGAGGAAGCTAGAGAAGGCCGAAGCCAAGCTGAAGCAAAAACAAGGGAGGAGGAATGAACGTGATTCGCAAAAAACTACTAGTCCACTGTGAGTTTCATATGCTTTTTATCTACACATCTAGACTATGCAAACAGTTTATCATTGGCAGTGGTGGAAAAAATAGCCAATTGTCATACCTGAGTAAAAGTAAAGATGCCTTAATAGAAAATGACTCAAGTAAAATTGAAAGTCACCCAGTAAAATACTACTTGAGTAAAAGTCTAAAAGTATTTGGTTTTAAATGTACTTAAGTATCAAAAGTAAATGTAATTGCTAAAATATACTTAAGTATCAAAAGTAAAAGTAGATATGTTAAATACATTTTTGGAGCAAACCAGATGGCACAATTGTCTTCTTTTTTTTAACGGATAGACAGGGGTACACTCCAACACTCAGACACCATTTACAAACAAAGCATTTGTGTTTAGTGAGTCTGCCAGACCAGACGCAGTAGGGATGACCAGGGATGTTCTCTTGAGAAGAGTGAGTTGGATGATTTTCGTGTCCTGCTTTAACATTCAAAATGTGACGAGTACTTTTGCGTGTCAGAGAAAATGTATTCAGTAAAAAGTACATTATTGTCTTTAGGAATGTAATAAAGTAAAAGTTGTCAAATATATAAATAGTAAAAAGGATAAAGAACATTAACAACTTCATAGTTAAGAATACTTTAACGATATGGAAGAAAATGAAACGTATTTTACAAGAACCAATATCACTCCCTAGAAACACAACCTTATGGAATAATCCTTGGATAGCTTTTCTGAATTCATCGATAAATTGGCCCACATAGAAAACTAAAGGCATAGAAACTGTAAATGACTTGGTAACAGGAAATACATTTATTTCCATGACAGAATTAAAAAGTAATTTTGGACTGAAAAAAATATAAAAGCAAAATGTAAAGTGTTGGTCCCATGAGCTGAAATAAAAAATCTCAGAAATATTTTCCATATTTTCTAAAATGTTGTGCACACATTTGTTTACATCCCTGTTGGTTAGCATTTCTCCTTTGCCAAGATAATCCACCTGACAGGTATGGCATATCAAGAAGCTGATTAAACAACATGGTCATTACACAGGTGCATCTTGTGCCGGGGACAATAAAAGGCCACTCTAAAATGTGCAGTTTTGTCACACAACACAGATGTCTCAAGTGTTGAGGGAGTGTTCAATTGGTATGCTGACTGCAGGAATGTCCACCAGAGCTCTTGCCAGAGAATGTAATGTTAATTTCTCTACCATAAGCTGCCTCAAACGTCGTTTTAGAGTATTTTTCTGTATGTCCAACCGGCCTCACAACCGCAGACCACGTGTAACCACGCCAGCCCAGGACCTCTCCATCCGGCTTCTTAACCTGCGGTATCGTCTGAGGGTTGGAGGTGGGGGTGCTGAGGAGTATTTCTGTCTGTAATAAAGCCCTGTGTGGGGAAATACTCATTCTGATTGGCAGGGCCTGGCTGCCAAGTCAGGCTGCCCAGTCATATGGAATCCATAGATTAGAGGCTAATGAATTTATTTCAATTGACAGATTTCCTTTATCAACTCTAACTCAGTAAAATCTTTGAAATTGTTGAGTTTATATTTTTGTTCAGTGTAGATAGTTTAGAATACATGAAACTTAAAAGTTACATCACAAAATCTTGATTTGAAATATTTTTGACATCGGAGCAACCTTGAGGGAATCTTATTTGAGTCAGAAAAGGATGTTCATATGATGGGGAAGATCTGCAAAACCTTGCAGAAAGCCTATCCAACTGACAATATCTTAGAAAAAGTGAGACCCAATGGGCTGGACGATTCTTTTCCCATCACTGATTTTTTTGTAAATATTTTTATTGAAATAGCATGGGCGGCTGAGAAACTAATTGGTACAATTTTAAGACCAAGTGGCAAACAATAATGCAGGCGCTAGGGATAGTGGTGTGAGCATGCGGGTCTGGGCAGAAGAGATATAGTCATTGTTTGTATGTGTCTGTAAGTTCGTATGTATACGTTTTTTTGTTTGTGGAATGTACAAAAAAGAAAAGGAAAAATTAAATATGATTTAAAATATATTTGTGAATATATATATATATATATATATATATATATACACACACACACACTACCGTTCAAAAGTTTGGGGTCACTTAGAAATGTCCTTGTTTCCGAAAGAAAAGCAATTTTTTTGTCCATTAAAATAACATCAAATTGATCAGAAATACAGTGTAGACATTGTTAATGTTGTAAATGGCTATTGTAGCTGGAAACGGCTGATTTTTTTAATGGAATATCTACATAGGCGTACAGAGGCCCATTATCAGCAACCATCAGTCCTGTGTTCCAATGGCACGTTGTGTTTGCTAATCCAAGTTTATCATTTTAAAAGGATAATTGATCATTAGAATTATGTTAGCACAGCTGAAAACTGTTGTGCTGATTTAAAGAAGCAATAAAACTGGCCTTCTTGAGACTAGTTGAGTATCTGGAGCATCAGCAATTGTGGGTTCGATTACAGACAAATGGCCAGAAACAAATAACTTTCTTCTGAAACTTGTCAGTCTATTCTTGTTCTGAGAAATGAAGGCTATTCCATGCGAGAAATTGCCAAGAAACTGAAGATCTCGTACAACGCTGTGTACTACTCCCTTCACAGAACAGCGCAAACAGGCTCTAACCAGAATAGAAAGAGGAGTGGGAGGCCCCGGTGCACAACTGAGCGAGAGGACAAATACATTGGAGTATCTAGTTTGAGAAACAGACACCTCACAGGTCCTCAACTGGCATCTTCATTAAATAGTACCCGCAAAACACCAGTCTCAACGTCAACAGTGAAGAGGCGACTCTGAGATGCTGACCTTCTAGGCAGAGTTGCAAAGTGGGAGATTTGTACAGGGTAAAAGGGATCTTGAAGAAGGACAGTGCTTGATTGGAGCCAGTTTCCTCCTACAACAGGACAATGACCCAAAGCACAGCTCCAAACTATGCAATAACTATTTAGGGATGAAGCAGCCAGCTGGTATTCTGTCTATAATGGAGTGGCCAGCACAGTCACTGGATCTCAACCATATTGAGCTGTTGTGGGAGCAGCTTGACCGTATGGTACGTAAGAAGTGCCCATCAAGCCAATCCAACTTGTTGGAGGTGCTTCAGGAAGCATGGGGTGAAATCTCTTCAGATTACCTCAACAAATTGACAACTAAAATGCCAAAGGTCTGCAAGGCTATAATTGCTGCAAATGGAGGATTCTTTGACGAAAGCAAAGTTTGAAGGACACCATTATTATTTCTATTAAAAATCATTATTTCTAACCTTGTCAATGACTGCATTCCCTATGCATTTTGCTATATTTCCTATTCAAACTCATTTCATGTATGTTTCATGCAAAACAAGGATATTTCTAAGTGACCCCAAGCTTTTGAATGGTAGTGTTGTGTGTGTGTGTGTATAACCAGTCAAACGTTTGGACAAACCTACTCATTCAAGGGTTTTTCTTCATTTTATTTTTACAATTTGATACATTATAGAATAATAGTGAAGACATAAAACTATAAAATAACACATATGGAATCATGTAGTAACCACAAAAGTGTTCAACAAATCAAAATATACTGTTCCAAAAAATAAAGGGAACACTTAAACAATACAATGTAACTCCAAGTCAATCACACTTCTGTGAAATCAAACTGTCCACTTAGGAAGCAACACTGATTGACAATACATTTCACATGCTGTTGTGCAAATGGAATAGACAACAGGTGGAAATTATAGGCAATTAGCAAGACACCCCCAATAAAGGACTGGTTTTGCAGGTTGTGACCACAGACCACTTCTCAGTTCCTATGCTTCCTGGCTGATGTTTTGGTCACTTTTGAATGCTGGCGGTGCTTTCACTCTAGTGGTAGCATGAGAAGGTGTCTACAACCCACACAAGTGGCTCAGGTAGTGCAGCTCATCCAGGATGGCACATCAATGCGAGCTGTTGCAAGAAGGTTTGCTGTGTCTGTCAGCGTAGTGTCCAGAGCATGGAGGCGCTACCAGGAGATAGGCCAGTACATCAGGAGACGTGGAGGAGGCCGTAGGAGGGCAACAACCCAGCAGCAGGACTGCTACCTCCGCCTTTGTGCAAGGAGGAGCAGGAGGAGCACTGCCAGAGCCCTGCAAAATGACCTCCAGCAGGCCACATGTGCATGTGTCTGCTCAAACGGTCAGAAACAGACTCCATGAGGGTGATATGAGACGCCGTGGATAACGTTCTGCTGCCTGCAACATCCTCCAGCATGACCGGTTTGGCGGTGGGTCAGGCATGGTGTGGGGTGGCATTTCTTTGCGTGGCCGCACAGCCCTCCATGTGCTCGCCAGAGGTAGCCTGACTGCCTTTAGGTACCGAGATGAGATCCTCAGACCCCTTGTGAGACCATATGCTGGTGCGGTTGGCCCTGGGTTCCTCCTAATGCAAGACAATGCTAGACCTCATGTGGCTGGAGTGTGTCAGCAGTTCCTGCAAGAGGAAGGCATTGATGCTATAGACTGGCCCGCCCGTTCCCCAGACCTGAATCCAATTGAGCACATCTGGGACATCATGTCTCGCTCCATCCACCAACGCCACGTTGCACCACAGACTGTCCAGGAGTTGGCGGATGCTTTAGTCCAGGTCTGGGAGGAGATCCCTCAGGAGACCATCCGCCACCTCATCAGGAGCATGCCCAGGTGTTGTAGGGAGGTCATACAGGCACGTGGAGGCCACACACACTACTGAGCCTAATTTTGACTTGTTTTAAGGACATTACATCAAAGTTGGATCAGCCTGTAGTGTGGTTTTCCACTTTATTTTTGAGGGTGACTCCAAATCCAGACCTCCATGGGTTGATAAATTTGATTTCCATTGATAATTTTGTGTGATTTTGTCAGCACATTCAACTACGTAAAGAAAAAAGAATTTAATAAGATTATTTAATTCATTCAGATCTAGGATGTGTTATTTTAGTGTTCCCTTTATTTTTTTGAGCAGTGTATATTTTAGATTCTTCAAATTAGCCACCCTTTGCCTTGACTGCTTTGCATTCTCTCAACCATCTTCACCTGGAATGCTTTTCCAACAGTCTTGAAGGAGTTCCCATATATGCTGAGCACTTGTTGGCTGCTTTACCTTCACTCTGCGGTCCAACTCATCCCAAACCATCTCAATTGGTTTGAGGTCGGGGTATTGTGGAGGCCAGGTCATCTGATGCAGCACTCCATCACTATCCTTCTTGGTAAAATAGCCTTTACACAGCCTGGTGGTGTGTTTTGGGTCATTGTCCTGTTGAAAAACAAATGATAGTCCCACTAAGTGCAAACCAGATGGGATGACGTATCGCTACAGAATGCTGTGGTAGCCGTGCTGGTTAAGTGTGCCTTGAATTCTAAATACATCACTGACCGTGTCACCAGCAAAGCACCATCACACCACCACCTCCATGATTCACGGTGGGAACCACACATGCAGAGATCATCTGTTCTCCTTCTCTGCGTCTCCCACAGCAACAGCGGCTGCACTTGAAGAAACTTTCAAAGTTCTTGACGTTTTCCGGATTGACTGACCTTCATGTCTTAAAGTAATGATGGACTGTTGTTTCTCTTTGCTTATTTGAGTTGTTCTTGCCATAATATGGACTTGGTCTTTTACCAAATAGGGCTATCTTCTGTATACCACCCCTACCTTGTCACAACACAACTGATTGGCTGAAATGCATTAAGAAGGAAAGAAATTCCACAAATTAACTTTTTAAGAAGGCACACCTGTTAATTGAAATGCATTCCAGGTGACTACCTCATGAAGCTGGTTGAGAGAATACCAAGAGAGTGCAAAGCTGTCATCAAGGAAAAGGGTGACTACTTTGAAGAATCTCAAATCTCAAATATATTTTGATTTGTTTAACACTTTTTTCGTTACTGAATGATTTCATATGTGTTATTTCATAGTTTTGATGTCTTCACACTATTTCTACAATGTAGAAAATAGTAAAAATAAAGACAAACTCTTGAATGAGTAGATGTTTCCAAACTTTTGACTGGTACTAGGTGTGTGTGTGTAAATACATAGTAAAGTACAGATACCCCAAAAACAACTTACAGTGCCTTGCAAAAGTATTAATCCCCCTTGGCTTTTTCCTATTTTGTTGCATTACAACCTGTAATTTAAATAGATTTTTATTTGGATTTCATGTAATGGACATACACAAAATAGTCCAAATTGGTGAAGTGAAATGGATTCTAAAAAATAAATAACGGAAAAGTGGTGCGTGCATATGTATTCACCCCCTTTGCTATGAAGTCCGTAAATATGATCTGGTGCAACAAATTACCTTCTGAAGTCACATAATTAGTTAAATAAATTCACCTTTGTGCAATCTAAGTGTCACATGATCTGTTACATGAACTCAGTATATATACACCTGTTCTGAAAGGACCCAGAGCCTGCAACACCACTAAGCTAGAGGCACCACCAAGCAAGCGGCACCATGAAGACCAAGGAGCTCTCCAAACAGGTCGGGGACAAAGTTGTGGAGAAGTACAGATCAGGGTTGGGTTATAAAAAAATATCCGAAACATTGAGTATCCCACGGAGCACCATTAAATCCATTATTTAAAAATGGAAAGAATATAATAATATAATATGCCATTTAGCAGACGGCACCACAAAAACATTTTTTACATTTTAGTAATTTAGCAGACGCTCTTATCCAGAGCGACTTACATGAGCAACTAGGGTTAAGTGCCTTGCTCAAGGGCATATCAACAGATTTTTCACCTAGTCGGCTCGGGGATTAGAACCAGCGACCTTTCGGTTACTAGCACAACGCTCTTACCCACTAAGCTACCTGCCAAGAGAGGGCCGCCCATCAAAACACACGGACCAGGCAAGGAGGGCATTAATCAGAGGCAACAAAGAGACCAAAGATAACCCTGAAGGAGCTGCAAAGCTCCAGAGCGGAGATTGGAGTATCTGTCCATAGGACCACTTTAAGCCGTACACTCCACAGAGCTGGGCTTTACGGAAGAGTGGCCAGAAAAACGCCATTGCTTAAAGAAAAAAATAAGCAAACACGTTTGGTGTTCGCCAAAAAGCATGTGGGAGACTCCCCAAACATATGGAAGAAGGTACTCTTTGCAGATGACACTAAAATTGAGCTTTTTGGCCATCATGCTGTGGGTATGTTTTTCATCATCAGGGACTGGGAAACTGGTCAGAATCGAAGGAATGATGGATGCCGCTAAATACAGGGAAATTCTTGAGGGAAACCTGTTTGTCTTCCAGAGATTTGGGACTGGGAAGGAGGTTCACCTTCCAGCAGGACAATGACCCTAAGCATACTGCTAAAGCAACACTCGAGTGGTTTAAGGGACAACATTTAAATGTTGTGACATGACTTAAAGATTGCTGTACACCAGTGGAACCCATCCAACTTGAAGGAGCTGGAGCAGTTTTGCCTTGAAGAATGGGCAAAAATCCCAGTGGCTAGATGTGCCAAGCTTATAGAGACATACCCCAAGAGACTTGCAGCTGTAATTGCTGCAAAAAAGTGGCTCTACAAACTATTGACATGGGGGGGTGAATAGTTATGCACGCTCAAGTTTTTTGTCTTCTTGTTTGTTTCACAATAAAAAATATTTTGCATCTTCAAAGTGGTAGGCATGTTGTGTAAATCAAATGATACAAACCCCCCAAAAATCCATTTTAATTCCAGGTTGTAAGGCAACAAAATAGGAAAAATGCCAAGGGGGGTGAATACTTTCGCAAGCCACTATATAAGTAGTACTTGAAAGTATGTTTACTTAAGTACTTTCCACCACTGATCATTGGTTTGGTATTGTGACAGCAAACATACACATTTCCATTCACCAATGTATGAAGAAGTTCGGTTATAGTGTCAGACTGATGTGACTTGGACTGATGTTTCACCTCTGCCAGTCTCTGTCTCTCTTACGCTGTCTCTCTTCCTCTGTACTCACTCTCTGTACTTCTATCTCTTCGTCTCCTTCTGGTTCCCTCTGTCCCTCTCCCTCTGTGTCTGTCTCGCTCTGTCCTTTTTCCCCTCTGTCTGTGTCTTTCTCAGGGTACTGGAGGAGGCATCAGCCAGCCAGGCCAGTAGCAAGAAAGACAGTCGCGTTGACTTGTCCGGGAAGAATCGCAGCTACGACATCCGCATTGAGAACTTTGATGTGTCGTTTGGCGAGCGGTGAGTGGTTCACCCCTAGGCTGTGTCCTAAATGGCACCACATCCATATTAAGTGCACTACTTTTGACCAGGGCCAATAGTATAGTAGTGTGCTATATAGGGAATAAGGTGCCATTTGGGTTGAAGCCACACTTACGCATTCTCCTACTGTTTCCAGCGCTGGAGCAGGACACCGTTTCCACCGGCATTTACCTTGCATTTAAAAAGGGTTGGTGTGGTTATGGTAGTTACTTTCTGCAAATTGCTTTAAAGAATTCAACACAACTACCTGATATCAAGTGGTGCGTAGCAATGCTTGTTTAAATAAATCACAAACGACTAAATGAGTGAAATCATAAGTTATAACTGTGTGATTACCATTTTATGTGATTTATTAGTTAATACCATACAGTGAGAGAGAGACAAAGAGAGTAGGAGAGAGACGGAGACATTTCTTAGTCTGTACCGTAAACAATATGCAAGCAACTTGTCTCTCTCTCGCTCTGTATTTCCAGGTCCTTGCTGCAGGGGGCGGAGCTGTCTCTGTCGACAGGTCGCCGCTACGGCCTGATTGGCCGCAACGGCCTGGGGAAGACCACGCTGCTGAAGATGCTGGCGAGCCGCAGCCTGCGCGTCCCCGCCCACATCACGATCCTGCACGTGGAGCAGGAGGTCGCTGGCGACGACACAGGGGCGCTGCAGAGCGTGCTGGAGAGCGACACGGTCCGGGAGGGGCTCCTGACGGAGGAACGCCTGCTCAATGCGCGCATCGCCAACGGAACGTACGTCTTACTCACCCAAATAATCCCCAAAGCTGTCAACAGAGGGCTCATATTGGAACGAGTCAATACTGGCGGCCTTGGCAGATTTAAATGTTGTTGTTGCAGGAATTTTACACTTTTGGGTTTGAAACTGCAACAGTCACTGAACCTGCAGTTTATTCTGTTCTATTTTAGTGCTGAAGGAATGGAGACTGTTCGACTGTCAGAGATCTACGCTAAACTGGAGGAGATTGAAGCAGATAAGGCACCTGCCCGGTAAAGAGCCACACTAAACATGTCTGCACATAATGTCATATCTGTGTTTACGTTACATTAGCAGTGCATTTATATTTACACGTATTTACCAATGGTGTGTATACAACAGATGACTATGCACTGTGCAGTATAATTGTAACAAGTGTATGCATTTTCTGATTTGATGAGTTGATTGTTTGCTCCTTCCCTCTCTCTCTTTTTCCCTCTCTTTTACACAGAGCTTCAATCATCCTATGTGGTTTAGGTTTTTCTCCTAAAATGCAAACGCAGACAACCAAGTAAGTTACCGTCTGTGTGTGTGTGTGTGTGTGTGTGTGTGTGTGCGCAGACGCGGATGTGATTAACGGATCGCTCTGTGTGTTCTCTTCACAGGGAGTTTTCTGGAGGTTGGAGAATGAGATTAGCTCTGGCTAGAGCTCTCTTCGCCAAGTGAGTCTCTCCTTATTTTATCCAAAGGACAGTCTTCCCAATTAAAATACAAGGACAGAGATTATATTAGAATATTGATGTACATTTATAAAGCTCTTATGAGCTATTTCCAGAATCTCAATTTATAGACCATCTATTCAACACAGTTTATGAAGACATAAATTGTGGCTCTGCTAAATATTGTAAGGATAGCTTCAATTCTCTAAATAATGTGTATTTTCTTTCTTTTTAGGCCTGATCTTTTGTTACTTGATGGTGAGTGATTTAAACCACATTAAGTATTTTTGTATTGAGTATCTTTGAACAGTTTGACGGTGTCCAGTAGTCAGCGCAAACGCCCTTTAACTGACTGTCTGTCTCTGTCTTTCTGTCTGTCTGTGTTTGTTTCTCAGAGCCCACCAACATGTTGGATGTCCGAGCCATTCTTTGGCTGGAGAATTACCTGCAGGTAGGTTACTCCTGCTTACCGACACTCTTAACATTGCATGCCGAATCCAGTTCGGGTGCCCTTCTCCCTAAAGTGTGCACATTCTCACTCCCAGGATTTAAAAGCATTGGTTTGGTGAAAGCATGAGCAAGCGTGAGCTAGAGTGACTATCCGCCAATCCAGGGCAAGGGGTGTGAATGAGTGTACATTTCAGGGAGAAGTGTAGAGAATAGGAAGATAGGGTATGTTTTAATTGCATGAGCAACAAGTTAAAATGTGGTGGGTAATTCAACTTTGCTGTCAACTTTTTGCCTATGGGGGTGCTCTTGAGCCAAAAGGGGTCCGCCCCCCAAAAAAAGGGTCCGCTAAATTGGCAGAAAGGGGCAAAGCATACATAGTTAGCTTCAAATGGATTGTGTGGTTTCACAAGTTATGAAATTGCAAACAAAGGTTGTGTCCCACTAATATTTCCCTTCTCCTGAAGTGTGCACTCTTTCAATACTTCCTACAAATCTGAAGACATTGGATTGGTGGAGGCATTGGCTAGGTGGAGTTACCACCATATTTCTTATACCAGTTATTTCCTTTTGAAATCAGTGAATGGAAGTGAACGAGTGCACACTTTTGGAGGAAGGAGAGGTAATTGTGACATAGCTAAAGCATGAGCAACAAGTTAAACTCCCATATCGGCTGTTTAACCCCCCCCCCCCCCCACAGACCTGGCAGACCACCATCCTGGTGGTGTCCCACGACCGGAACTTCCTCAACGCCGTGGTGACTGACATCATCCACCTGCACTCGCAGCGGCTGGAGAGTTACCGTGGCGACTACGAGAACTTTGTCAAGACCAAAGAGGACCGCCTGAAGAACCAGCAGAGGGAGTACGAGGCCCAGTTTCAGTACAGAGAGCACATCCAGGTTAGGAACCCACACACAGTCATGCACACACCCATTTTCTCTCACGTTGAGGTACCCACAGACAAACTAAAAGGCCTATGGCAAGCGTAATAACAATACACTTTCTAAGCATTTGTCTTTGCTGATTAGTGTTTGGTTATTTTATATGATCTTGATATGCCAAACTTATCAACATCCTGCTAAATACTTATTAGAATATATGTTATAGTGTCTTATTTCTATATATTATAATCGTGGATTGATCACCTCCCTCTGTGTCCCAGGTGTTCATCGACCGGTTCAGATACAACGCCAACAGAGCGGCACAGGTGCAGAGCAAACTGAAGCTCTTAGAAAAACTGTGAGTAACCATCTCTTTCAAAAATAAGATGTTAACACGCACCCCACTCTGCTTTCTCTCATGTAGGGCTCCCTGGGAATTACAGCCTGAAAGTGCAATTCATTGTAAAGGATAACTCCTGTCTTGCACATGCATGATGACCTCTGTGTGTTTGTTTGCCTGTGCACGGGGGAATGGTCATTGTAAAGAATATCTATTGTTGTCATCTGTCGTCCATTCCCTCACTGTTCTTCTCTTGTCTCCTGCAGGCCTGAACTCAAACCTCTGGAGAAGGAAACCGAAGTCACCTTAAAGTAAGAGACCGCTCCTTCTGTCCCGAATGAAGTCTGGTTTCAATTCTCATTCATCTGAGTGGTAACGTGTGTGTGTGTGCGCATCTGTCCACAGGTTCCCTGATAACTTTGAGAAGCTGTCTCCCCCAGTGCTCCAGTTGGATGAGGTGGAGTTCTACTATAACACCGACCAGCGCCTCTTCACACAGCTGTCGGTGTCTGCAGACTTGGAGTCTCGCATCTGCATCGTACGTATTAATCACACTGCTCTCAATTCTGATAACTAGCTTGATTGAAACGAGTTCTAAAATACATGCACTGCTAATAGTTCGGGATGCACTGATGTGACAGTTCTGGGCAGATGCCAATATCCAATATTTTCTTAGCAATATCGACCGATTTCAGATATATTTTCATTTTATGGCACTTTTAACCATTCTAGCAGAGATACGAACTGCAATCAACTTTCTATGTTCATAAGGCTTTTGTCCCCCCATCGGGCCAATATGGTGTTAGATTAATTTGTATTTTAAGAATAATGACTAAAGGATTTCACCCCAAATACAGTATAAACTGTATTAGAATTATAATGTATTAGAATGATAATGTATTGTCAACTTACTAACAGAGGGGGGCGGGACTAAACATTCCAGGGTGAAGGGGACTGAGGAAACGGGTTACAGGGGGCCTCCTAGAGGTGGGCGGAGCAGGGTGCCTTTGTGTGTTGAGGTATAAAACAGGAGTGTATGGGTTTTGGCGCCAGAGCTCTCCATGAATAAAGATACAGATAATCCTTGTTGGTTGTGGACCTTGAATCATTTATGATTAAAACCAGAGCCTTACAACCTCTGGTAATGATTCAAGCTTAGGTTGAATTAGAGATAGAAATTATCTTAACATATGGTCACTGATATATTGTGCGTCCATTGATAGTGTACTTTTAAACCTGTGAAACACTTCCACAGCCAAGGCTCTGTGCAACCTTCCAACTGCTAAAGAAGTACGTACCTACAGTCTCTCTCTTGCTCTCTCGCTCTTCTCTCGCGCTCTCTCTCTCTCTCTCAGGTGGGTGAGAACGGGGCGGGTAAATCCACCATGCTCAAGCTACTGATGGGAGAGTTAACGCCCGTCAACGGCATCAGACACAGCCATCGGTGAGGTTCCATGCTTGACGTCAGGCCATGTTGCTCTGCTGCTAATGTGTGTCTCGGTGTGTGTGCGTGTCCACAGGCTCCCTTGTAACTTTCAGAAGCTTTGTGTGCGTAAAGGGAAGTAAACAACAGCTTTATTTCCCGTTCTCGCTCAGGAACCTGAAGATCGGTTACTTCAGTCAGCACCACGTGGATCAACTGGACCTCAACGTGTGTTCAATTGAGCTGCTACTCAACAAATTCCCAGGTGACCACCACCACCAAAACATACCAATACTGATCTTTATCAAAGCCTGGGCTGTGTTCATTAGGCACCAAATGCAAAGGAAACTGATTGGAACAGGGATGGGCTACCTGGACTTGGTCCAATAAGAAATGCCCAGTTTTTTCGTTGTGTGCCCTAATGAACACAACACTGGTGGTTGTTACGGATCCCTATAGATGGGTTACCTGACAACGTCACAAAAACAATGCGCGCACTTCAGCTTCAATGGTGCAAAAGGCAGTGTGTTGTGATTCTGGATGGCCAGATAGCTAGCAACAATGACAAGAAGCTGCCATGTGAGGAATCGTAGGTAGCTTGTTTCAGCTTGTTTGATCTTGTTCTTGATACTATGTCTTGTTTTGACTGTCACATCTATGCTAATATGACAAAAATTCGCTAGCTAGCTAACCAACAACTGTAAAGATGTATTTGAGAGAACAGGTGCTCATTGTGCACATTTATTTTTGCTAAACAACCAGCCCCTCTATAGCCTGCAGTCTTTGTAATTTGTAACCCCTTTTGTCCCTTCCTCCCTCCCAGGTCGTAACGAGGAGGAGTACAGGCACCAGCTGGGTGGCTATGGGATAACAGGGGAGCTGGCCACTCGGCCGGTGGCCAGTCTGTCAGGAGGGCAGAAGAGCCGGGTGGCCTTCGCCCAGATGACCATGCCTTGGTAATGTATTTTATTATTACACTCCATGACCCCAACATTTCACACATGATTTCTCACATTGTCAAATTGTCATTTTGTGGTAATAAACTGGTTGAAAAGTTGAAAAAACGTCCTTGTACAAGCAGTATACAACCTGACCATGATGTCTAATAATGTGATTGTAACCAGGTTTGCCAGCTGGGTTACATCTCTCTATCCTTCAGATGTTAAACCGACTCTGTGGTCACTCAAGAACGCATGGTAGTTGTTGCAAGAGTAGGGATGTTAACCCGGGTGTCTGGGCTAAATTCCCTAATGGCCCCTCATACCACCACGGCCACCTAATCATCATCCCCAGCTTCCAATTGGCTTGTTCAACCCCTCCTCTCCCCTGTAACTCATCCCCAGGTCGTGGCTGTAAATGAGAATTTGTTTTCAACCAACTTACCTTGTAAATCAGAAAAAGACTGTACATCTGTCAAACTGCCCTGATAACACTAGGAACAGAACTGGAGAGAGGACATGAGAGAACGCTATTCATTTTGGGAAGTGTCAAGATCCTAATGATGAGATGGTCATAATCAGTCTCAGAATGTATGTTATTATTAGGGTTGCCGGCAGCAAAGCACCCCTAATAATATTGTTGGAATAGCTCTTGTCGGAATAGCTCAATGCCCGATTAGTCAAAAAATGTATACTTTGGCAATATCAAAGTATATCAACACCACTACTCGGACACTAAAAATGGCACGAATCGGCCCATAGCTGGCGCTGTATTAAGTATTCAAAGTCTAATGCTCAGCCCCACCTCCCCGTTTGACGTATAACCACGAAATTTGGTATATCAGTGTTTCTCATCATAAGGAGCAAATTTGCTTCATGAACCCATGAGGTCTGCCATTTTGAATTTTCCGACATGTTGGATTTTTTGATCAAATCTTCTAAAATCTTCTCATGAACCGTATATCCGGTTGACTTGAATCGAAACTCAGAATGTATGTCTCTACTAAGTTTGAGAAAAGCGATACGTCAAAAGATGGAAGAGAAAATGGCAACTTCGTAAAAAATATTATTAACTTCACTTGTCTTCGCTCTATCACCTTGAAACTGATTAAGGGTATTGACGACACTAGTAGGAAGCAGGTGTTGATGTAAAAAAAATAACATGGAAACAGTAAGAAATTAGTTGTGAACCTCCCAACAGTTAGCATTCATGCTAATGCTAAAAAGCGATTATTCAAATGAAGTCTCGAGATTTGGCGACTACAGTGTTTGTTAGTCCCTACAAAGTTTGCCAAGGAATAATTGCTACGTCAAACACAGCCACTTCATGACGCTATAAATAATTTGCACATAGTATTTTGAATTGTTAAATGTACAAGGATGTATAATGCTTCAATGCAGCCGTCTCTTTCAGCCTGCTCATAAACCAGCACCCTGTTTCATTGCTGCTTGCATCTATATTTGATCTCGTACTCACGTTTTCTCTCTTTCAGCCCAAACTTCTATATCCTTGACGAGCCGACCAATCACCTGGACATGGAAACAATCGAGGCTCTAGCGAAGGCGCTCAACAAATTCAAAGTAAGCTTGTTTCACTATAAGTCGCTGAGAAAATTTCCTTTATTTATCTCACAATGTTAATCAGTAGAGTAAATATGGAGAAACTGTAAGTCATGGATCGATTTTCTTTAAACAGCCACTGCAAGCTTATTTTGGCCACCACTAGCTAACAATCAATGGAAGTGATAGCACTTGAACACTTTAAGTTTTAAGGTGCGTATATACCCTTCTTTAATTATATCCTCTCCTCAGGGTGGGGTGGTCCTTGTCTCTCACGACGAGCGTCTGATCCGGCTGGTGTGCAGAGAGCTGTGGGTCTGTGAGCACGGGAACGTGCGGCGAGTGGAGGGGGGCTTTGACGAGTACCGGGATATCTTGCAGGAACAGTTCCGCAAGGAGGGCTACCTGTGAGAGGGAGGAGGGACCTTCCAAAACCTACCACCCCAGGCAACTTTCCCATTACGCCAACTATGACAGACTTGCCAAGTTACCAATCGATTTCAGCCCCCAATAACCTAAAGCCCCCCCCACTCTCCATTCCCCGACTGCCAATCATCATCCTGAGTTTTACTGGCTGTTGTTCCAGCATTTATCTCTGCTCCCCCACACCACCGTTTTTCTTTTGTTTGCGATTTAGCTCGGCCCGGCAGTTCAAAGTGACATACTCTTGTCTATTGTCCTGAAGCAGACATGTTTTAGGCTACATGAAGTGCAAACTCTGTCCACATGGAATGTCAATTGTGCATGTACTCTGTGTACTCCGAAACTGCTCCGGCCTACCCACTCCCAACCTTCCTGATCATAATAGTTTGAGCTGGTTTGGTTCACTTAACAACAAGGAGGATATTCCATAATGTGAAGGTGGGGGTGTTGTGCCCTCTCTTTAACTGTTAACCCCATGTGGGCAGCCATCTTGGAATAATGCTACATCCTTTTAGCTCCTAATATCAGTGAAGGGACGAATATGTACATCAGAAAATTTGAAACAATGTTCTCGATTTCTTCATCCATGTTGAGTATGTGTGTGATTGAGTGGGAGAGAGCGAGGATATATTTCAAGTGCATATGGGGAGATGTTTCTCCTGAACGTGTGTTCTTGATGGAGAGGGAGCATCTCTTAGTCAGTGGAACCCAGGGCGAAGCCGAAATGGCACCCTGTTCCCAACATAGTGCAGTATTTTGTGAACTTGCCAAAAGTGCACAATAGCGAAAATGGTGTAATTTCAGACACACCTGGTCTTGTTCATTAGGCACCAAATGAAAGAAAACAGTCTGAAACAGGGAGGGATTACATGGACTTGTCCAATAAGAAACGCTCATTTTCGTTTTCTGTTACAAAACGTTTCCTGTTGCGTGCCCTAATGACCACGATCCTGGAAACATCCATATCTGCGTCAGCATGGGAAACCACCAGCACAAAAACAACGACTTCTACAACAACAGCAGCTGGCTCCAGGTCTCACTGCTGCTTCTTCCCCAGAATCTCCAACCAAGTTAAGAGGGGTATTATTAAGCAATAAGGCACGAGGGGGTGTGGTATATGGCCAATATACCACGGCTAAGGTCTGTTCATAAGCATGACGCAAAGCGGAGTGCCTGGATACAGCCCTTAGCCATGGTATATTGGCCATATACCACAAACCCCTGAGGTGCCTTATTGCTATTATAAACTGGTTACCAACGTAATTAGAGCAGTAAAAATAAATGTTTTGTCATATTGTGGTATACGGTCTGATATACTACAGCTGTCAGCCAATCAGCATTCGGGGCTCGAACCACCCAGTTTATATAATTCTTAAAGAAAATTATCAGAATAAAAAACAACTACATTCTTCCTGCTTCAATGTTATATCGCTAACTTATAAATAGCTGTTTTAAGAACTATTCAATCATAACACCATCCTAATAAAAAAGCTTTAATCATCCATCCGCCAGGTCTGATGATCTGCTCTCTCTGCTATTGTTCAACTAACACCATGCAACATTACTTTTATCATTTTGACAAAGTGGAACCCGTATCCATAACAATCTAGAGAAGACCTATGGATAGAGTGTCTACCAAACGACAGAAAACACTCAAATAATATACATGTTTTGTGAAAATTGTAAACAGATGCTTAATCAATCACAGGTTGAGTTCAAGGTGTGGACTGTGCGTGCATGTGTATATGGTGGCCTACAGACTTGTCAATATGACTTATTTTAGTCGATTACTTCAAAGCTCTACAGATTGGTGTACCTGTAGAAAGTAGAGCAAGTCAGTCATTTGACACAAGGGGTTCGTTTAAAAAGGGATTGCATTCGTTTTGGAACCGGACTGCCTCCCGGGCGTGAGCCAGGTGCCCCACTATGGCTGGCTCAAAACAAAAGTGACGTAATCAAGCATGTGGAGTGATGAGTAGGATTCTGTGTTTTCACATGCAAAAGTGATTGCTTTTGATAAAAAACGCTTTATCTGCCAAACTAAAATGTAAATGAAAGCTAGTTTGAAAATTCTAACATTTTATTTTATGGAAAAGAGTTGGATGTTTCTGGACGATGCACCATGCTGCCTTGACAACATGACAGAGCGGCGCAGATTACTGTTTGATTTGAGAAGGGCGCTCCTCCCTCCCTGCTTTCACCCAATGACGTGACGGGCCATTGCCCGGTTTAACCCGGACCAGCATAATACAACTCAATGTAAAGAACAGTAGCCCAGGTACCTAACTGTTTCTGCCTTCAACAACCCTACACTATTGCCTATCAAAACTAGACAAAAGTGATCTAAATCCGAAACGGACTAAACAAATTGAAGGTAAACAACACAATGACACAGAGCTTTGAGAGTGAACATGAGAAAAACGTGAGACTTTCAATGCAATAGTCGGTGAAAAGAAATGGGTGGGTTAGGATGTTTGACACAACAGTGTTTCTTAGTGGCAGTAGTAAAGCATTGCCTGTGCCACAATGGGTACACTAGCAAACAGTAAATGTTTTCTATTGGAGAAGTTCAGGTAGGTCCCTCACTGTATGGATCCGTTTGGTTCCTAGTGATGAATACACCCCAGGACAAGCTGAGTCAAACTCCATCATGTGTTAATTAATGTTACATGTTTTGACATTTTAAAATCAGACAGGTGCAGAAATATAGTCATATATTCTGCCTACAGTACATTCTGCTGTCCATTCTGAAGTCCACAATACTGAACAACACTGACAACACACATCGACATGCATGTACTTTACCCTCAATTACTATGCAAACACTTGCTTGAATAAAAACATCAAACGCATTCCCTGGCACAGCTCTCTTACAATGGATTATTTTTTCTTTGCTGTAATTCTTGTCCATTTCAAATCTATTTTATTTTCTTAGCCTGTCATATGATCGGCTGTCATATGATCTCCAGATCGCTTTGCCTGTCCCAGTCAGGTGGTTATTGCATTGGCATCCCCTGCTATGTCCTCAAACACTGGGGTGTAGGTGTCAACACACCCATGTTCAGGAGCTTCTCCCAGTGCTGAGGGGAATCACCATAGTCCTGTCCTAGTCCTGTAGTGGGCCTGAGAGGGGGCACAGGGTCTCTAAATGGGTAGAGGACAGGCAGGCTCTTCTCTGGTTCTCTGTGGGTGTGGGTGGTGACTAGTACCAAGCCCTGGGAGCTTAGGAGAGAAGTCCCTGTCAAAGTTAACCTCTGAGCAGGTGAGGAAGCTGTGGGTGTCGCAGTCTGAGGAACTGTCCATCCCTCTGGTAACTCTGCCAGGTCTGGGCCATTGAGCCAGCTGACCTGACTGCTGATGTAACTGAGAGGGTTCTCTGTGAAGCTGTGTCTGGGCCGATTCCCCGTGGCCCACAGGGCTGTTCAGCCTCCTCACCTCCTCCACAGAGAGACGCTGAGGAGGACCCGTCAGCCCTTGCACTGCCAACCTCCCACGGTAGCGCCTCTCTTCACCCTCTCTCCACCTATCATCTACCTGGCTCAGCGGACCACAGGCCTTACCACATCCTCCGTCTCTGGAGACTCTGTGGTCAGGGTTTGTCAGCTGGATTTGGGGAGCCTGGTGTTTTTCTTCTGACCTCCCTTGCCTCCTGTCTCTGTCCTCTCCCAGTGTGTTTTAATGAGAGGCCTAGGGAGCCTTAGAGAGGCAGTGTCAGACTGTACACACTGTAGACACTTTATCTCGTAGTACTCCAGCTCCTCACTGTGTCCGCCAGCCTCCAACCCTGGCCTGGCTGTACTGTAGCCGTCCTGGACCACCACAGAGAGTATCCCCCGTTTATACACCCCTTCCCCAGAACTCCCAAAGTAGACAAATAAAGATGTTAACTTTGAACTTGAACCTGATGGTAACAGTTGTTGTGGTAAATTTTGGGTTGTCTTCCAGGTGCACGTAGGTGAAAATGTTTCCCCTGTGTGGGCTGATGAAGAACTGGCCAGCGTTCTGCCCGTATAAGAAGAAGTGGAGCTGTGCGTTGATCCCTAAGTCACCATCCACTGCTCTCACTGCACACACAACAGATCATGCAGAACACGGGCACACACAGCATTAAAAATAAATCATAAACACATTGTAACCTATCATAATCGCATTTATAAAGATATAATTAATCAAATTAATTAGTAAAATTCCTTGAACATAGCAGTAAAGGGCATTTGTAATACTATGAATTACTTAGTTCTCCTTGTTTATCTATGATATCTAAAATGGCTGCTGTTATTAAACCCCCTCACCTGGAGCAGTTCCAAGTTCCAGCTGGCATGATAGCCACATAGGGGCTGTGGAGGAACTGAGGCCAGTGGTGGTTGACGTCCGCAACCAGGACAGACACCTGTACTGAGCTGGACAGCGGCTGTGTGGGGTGTGTGTCCCTGGCCACCACAGTCAGTCTGTAGATTGCCACCGGCTCCCTGTCCAGCACGCCAGTGGTCAAAAGCTCCCCAGACGTGTCCTCAATAGAGAAGGGTCCATCAACACTCTATGGAATACCTGGAATACAGTTAACCATCATATTACAGCACTGAATCAAAAATAATATCACAGCAAAAGATCTGACCATATATTATTTCTCTACTCCAGGGCTGGGGACCCACATGACTTCATATTCTGTTCCAGCCAAGGGAACTGTACCTTATGTGTCCATTGGTACCTTCATCCGCGTCATAGGCAGTGACCATGGCAAACACTGTGCCTGCAGGGCTATCCTCAGAGACAATGGTGGTGTAGACCTCCTCACTAAACACTGGCCGGTTGTCATTCATATGGTCCACTACAACATGGACTGTCCCAGTCCCTGTCAGGCGGCAGGAGAGACAAAACAAAACAATATCAACAACAACAAAAAGATACTTAAAGCCTGCAGGTATTATTCTTAATTACTTGCTATAAGCATGTATGAGCTTTTATGAAGCCTTATTATAAGCATTTCATTTGTGATGTCTCGACAAACATAAAATAACATCTTATACCAGATTCATTACTGCTCAGAGAGAGCTTAGCTAAATCCTACAGTCTGGATTCACAATGTGATATACAGTATACAGGGGGCCAGTATGAAAAATGTATGCACTCACTAATTGTAAGTCGCTCTGGATAAGAGCGTCTGCTAAATGACTAAAATGTAAAATGTATACAAACTAAGGACAGCTCTCATGTGAATACATTACACTTGTACAGGAGAAAAAAAACGTTGAGTTCTGATATTTCTTAAAGGAACAGCAACAGGTTTTTGTTATACGGAAGCAGAGATCCTGATTAACTGAGTCGACAGCCATGATGTCTAACTTGTAGGGTGATGTCACCTCCCTGTCCAAACTCTGTAGCATGTTAAAGGTGCCGTTGGGCGACAGAGGGAAGAGGCCCTCCCCGTCTCCTCTCTCTATGAAGTACCTCAGCTGGCTGTTCACTCCTAAATCCTCATCCCTAGCTGATACCTGGTCACAATTAGGGGTAAGATTTTACTGAAAGACAAGAGGTATAATGTATTACTAATATATTGCTTGTATTGTAATCAACTCATGATGCTACTGTATGTTATGTCATACTGTATGTCGTGGCAATTGTTTAACAGACTCAAAATGGCTAATAATAACTCAATCATCATTATGAGATTACACTAAATGACAAATCTTACAATGCATTATGGCTGCATCAAAATTATTGTCTCCTGTCATAACATCAATCATAGTCTCTTGTTACAGACATATCGAGGAGCTGGCCAATGCATGAACGATTTGGTTCTGGGTTCTGAGATTACATCAATCGCAACATCAAATGTTTGTTCATATGAAGCTGGAGGGTTCTTCAGTCAGATTAGTCCAGGTCCTAACCA